GAAAAAAAAAAAAAAAAAAAAAAACGCCTCTGCCCTGATCTTGATTTGGTGACCATTGACACTAAAATGCTCTTACTCCCACAGACAAAGTGAGTCATTTTCTACAGATTCTTCCCTTTGAGCTGCTTGTTGCCTTTTTGTGTAGACTCCTAACCCTGAGATTTTTCCATAACAACATAATCCTGAAAATAACATCAATGGTGCTGTCCTGATCGATTATAAGAACTTTTTAAATGGTACTGTATGTGAGGGTGGTAGTCATAGTGAAGTTGTTGAACTCTTGTAGGTAGGGACACTACTGTGGTAGAGGGGGCGAACATATGTATGTATCAGGAAGCCAGTGCCACAGCTCTGTAGCATAGTGAACTCTTAGAAGAATTTTAGTTTTCTTTCTAAAGAAGAGTTGTTATACTGCGAGTCTTTTGAAAAGTCCTTATGGAATGTCAAATCCTATTTGCATGTGGGCATGTGATAGCCAGTAAGATAGAGGGTTTTCTTTATTGATACCTGTAGTAACTTAGTTTTTGTACTCTTATTCATTGGGCAAGTGGGAATACATATGAAGATACTGATTTTTCTCAAAATAGGAAAGTAACACTATTTATATCCAGGTAGTTTAAAGAAAAATGCAGTTAAAATTTGGTTCATAGGTATTGTTGAAGGGAATGACTGCTGTTTTCAGTGCCTTTCTTTTTTTCTTGCCAGATTTTTACATGACTGTAAACAACTATTGGATTCTAAATGCTCGACACATAAATTTCACTACAGTTTCTGTAGCTGGAGGATTCCGGGATTACCAAGTTCGTTCAGGACTAACTTTTCTACCGAAATTAAGCCATCATACCAGTGCCTTATCTGTTGTGGTAATTTTCTTTCTTAAGATTCTATTGAAATAGTGATGTAATCGACACAGTGGAACATGAAAGAGAAAGGAAATGTAGAAATGACAGCTGAGTTGGTGTAGGCTTGCAGCAGGTGTGTGCCAGGGAGAGACCATGAATGAATGAAACGGAGTCCACTGGGCAGGCACGCTTGTGTCCACAGAAAGTGAAAGGGTCTTGGGTGTATACCTGTGAGTAGGACTTACTTGTGTCCAGAAGAAGGCCTAGGCCTACATTAGAGCTGTAACTGTAAGAAAATGTGGACTGAAGTTTAAGGGAACCTAGTCATGTCTGAGAGTCATATTATGCACAGTAGTAGGGGAGTGTCAGACGTACCACGTACTCCTCTCTGCCGCCTCAAACAAAGATTCACCTGTTTTTACTAAAGCGCTTATTAGCTTTGGTATTATAAATAGAACTCTGACTGGTTTGCTGATTATCCTTCCCTGCTGGGCCTTTGACTGTTTGGTCTTTGGCTGGTGAAGATGGCCTGCATAAAGTGATCTCAGGTTTCCTTTTAGAACATCTTTCTTCTATATTCAGCCTTGAAGTCTGCAGTTAACACATTCATGACAGGCTGGAATTCATATGTGGCTGCCAGGCAGCTTGACCACCAGTGGTACATGCACGACTGTTGGTCCAAGTGGAGCAGTCACGCATGGGATGGTCACACACGCACCGCCAGTGGTTCCAGCCAGCGGGGACGTGTTAAGATATTAATGTCGTAACTCCATGTGTACATCATCTAAATATTATAATTCATTTCTAAAGAGAAAATCCATAGAATGTGCTCTGCCTGTTCTGGTTGCTTTGAGGAGACAGATGTGGAGAGTCACTCTTTCCTAGTTGTTCTTGGCAGATGCTCCTTTGTTCATCTGATCTGTGCCCTGCCTTGGATTGCTCTCCATTCACCAAATAGTCTCTCAAACCTCATTTTTGGTGATATGACTCAGTGTCATTTGGTGTTGAATGCAGTTATTTGCTTTACATCCTTAAAAGGCTAGATGTCAGCTCTTCGGTAAACATAAGCAGTTTAGTCATATTAATAGCAACACAGCGTATTTCCTGGACTTGGCCTGTGTTCATACCACATCCTAAGACTTACCTTTTAAGTAACTTTGGTCATTTGAAAATGTGTTGCTTTTAAGGCAGCTTGTATTTCTGTCTTTGGCAAAAATATCTTACAGAATTTTTCTCAAAAATGGCTATTGCATCACCTGATTTACACAGTAGTATACAATCTCACACATCTGCATAGAAGTTCACTTTCTAAAAAATTAAGAAGTAATAATATTTGAATACGTTTCTCAAGCAAGAACAGTTAGATGGCATTTACATATTGGGGCCAGAAAGAATCATGTAAGACAGAGAAAGTGTCTGTACCAGCAGGGAGGCTAACCTGCTAGGGTATCCTCCCACCCAGGTCAAGGCATGAGGCATGGTAAAGCAGCAAGAGAGGCCGCGAGAGGAAGTCGTCTTGGTTGTGCCAGAAAGAGCAGTGGTTTCTGTAGCATTTATCAGCTGTCATCGCAACATCATGAAAGCTACCTTTTCCACTTTTGTTGCCTTTCCTGTTTAATCTCTGGAAAGGACATCAGTTTTACATTCTTGGTAGTGGTCAGTGCTATCTCCTCAGCCTCAAATATAATCTTAGAACCCCAGTGAGTTCTGCTTGTCTAATTTTTCAGCAAGCTGTCAGTGGTAGTTCCCAAATATATCAGTGCTTATAAATCCAACAAATCCAACATTCCTCTTACTTCCCAACATGGAACCCCAAACTCGTCATTATTTACCAAGTACCAGCATGGCCGCGAATCTTAGAAGTCATGCATACTTATACTTACTTTTTTTTTTAGCTATGTATGCTTATTTATTAAAGAAGCATGTTATGCCTCTGTAAATGCTCTTGCATCTGTGTTGGGAGGCTCCTTTTCTCACAGTTCTGAGATGGCAGCTCATTGTGTCTTTGGTGCAGAAGGAGCTGCCGTGAAAAATGAGATTCTGCTCACTTGCTGAGCCCTTCCGTGGGTTTGGTGAGGTCATCACTGATGTGAGGCTCTGTGCACCCACAGGGTGCTGTGCCACTGCTGTGGAGCCTGCCTTCTGCCATCAGTCGCATTTTTAGGAGACTTTTGCCCTTATGCAGCCTGACCATCTAGAGAAATTTGCAAAATAAGTAAAGCCTGGATCCTAATAATGAGAATCTTATTAGATAGTTCTTGGATAGCAATCAGATACATTTTAACTTTAAAAAATATTTTAAAGTGTTTAGTTGTCAGAAACATACTTAAGTCTTCAGAACTCAGAATATATCAAAAAGCAATTTAGTCAAAACTAAAATTATTGAAGTATTTTAACTTATTACCTAAACTATGATTTATTAAAGAATCTTAAACTCAACCTTACATTAAAATAATTCAAAAGTTGAACATTAGCTTTGTCAGCACTCCTTTAGCTCTGATAGCTCTTTATTCTTTTTTTTCATTGAGTTTATTGGTGTAGCTCTTCATTATTAAATAAAGAAATCTATGTGAGAAAGGTAAACTTTTGTCTTAGCACTCTGACCTTGTTTCCTGACTCAGTTTGACCAACATTCCCTTCACAGTCGCTAACACCATCTCAAAAGAACCAGGAACATTCGTCTCAATGGAAGCTAGAAGTACCAGAAGGTAGATGTTAAATTAAAAACTTCAATACAGAATCCTACATGTTCTAGTAATTTTTAAAGGTTAGTTTAAGCTTGGGTAACCAGTGATGATACTTAGAGAGTTATATTTTATGCAGGAATATCTTAAAATCTAGCTTGCCTTTTAGTAAAGTATATCATTTAAAATAACCACAGAAATATCATAGTAAAAACAATGTTACGTTTCTAAATGTTAGCTTAGCCACGGATTTAGCTCAGTGGTTCCGGCCACTGCTTCGCAAGCGCAAGGACCTGAGTTCAATCCCCGGTACTAAAAAAATAAAAAAATAAATGTTAGCTTAAAAGAATTTCAAACCTTTCAGAGAATAATAAATATGCTTTCATTAAGGTTTTTTTTTTCCTTTCCTTTTAGAGTTCAGCTGTGCCTAAGACGTGGGTCTCAACAGACCACCTCTCCATTGTGTGGTAAGTTAATGTAACTTTTTTTTTTGGAGACGTTCTCATTATGTAGCTTAGGCTGGTCTTGAACTGGTGGGAGTCCTCCAGCCTCAGCCTCCCAAGGGCTGGGATTATATCGTGTGCCACCACGCCCTCAATGTAATTTCTTGGTGATTTCTCATGCTCCTGCTTTCTCACCATTAATTTTCTCAGTGCACTAATTGGTTTGTTAGCTTTCTTAGTGCTTTATCTATGAATAAGTAAGCCTGTGTGAAAGACTTACTTAGGGGCTTAGCACTCTAAGCCTGGTTCTTGACCAACTTTTTTTGACAGTCTGTAACATCATCTCTCAATGAACCAGGAACATCTGTCTCAAATGAATGTAGCTTCAGATACCACAGTCTTAGAGTCTGAGTTAGACAGAATCAGGTGTACTGAGCCCCTAACCAGTGACCGTATGCAGATTTAGTAATATAGCAGTGACTGTCCTAGGGAGGAGTACAGAACTGCACGGGAATTGGATTTACTCTTAATATAAACTTTTTTAAAATGAGAGTTCAAATATGGATCAAGAAAGGCAGACCTGTATGTCTGCCTCTGTATATTTTGGACCTAGGTCTCTTGTGCCCTTCCTGTGGCCACTGTGCACACCAGTGAAGTGGAAGGTGCGGTGCATATAGCTAGGAGCCAGGGTGGGTGAGGAGACGCGAGAACAGTCCACTGTGACATCCAGGAAAGGTTCACTTCCTTTACTTTTCTAAGTTTTGACCTTAAGATATATGCTAAATGAGAATGTTTTCTCATTTAAATAAGTTCTTAGTTTATAGAACTACAAGAAACTCATATTTCATTACACATAGAAGCTTACATGTTTGGATCAAAAATACATGTTTTAAGAACGTTTCATGCGTAACACTCACTTTATTCTTTAGGTGTAAACAGTTGCAGTTGACCACGATCCGGGCATTCTTTGACCTTATTGATGCTGATACTAAACAAGTATGTATTTTTAAACCAAAACTTATTGCAACACAATGAAAGCTTTTATTATAGCAATGACAGCTTTAATGTGTGTTTTTTCTTTGATGAAAGAAGCCTATATCTTTTATCAATTTTAATTAGTTTGAGGATGAAACTATACATTTTATAATATTTTGAATGCTGTTAATTATTCAAAAAATGTAATTAAAGTGAATGGATATTTTAAGTTTTTCCCAATTATCCCTTCACTGTTTAAAAGTTTGATGTGCATCCAACTTTTTTCTACTTAAAAGAAATATTTACTATTTGAAGCTCTTTTATATTATTTTTTCTTAGTGTTATAAATATAATCTATCTTACTTGATGTTTTTGAGCCATGCTTTTAAAAGTGTCCTTACCTTTCTGATAAGATCAAAATATATGCATTCATTGAATAGGCACCAGGATTTAAATTGTGTACTTCTATTAGTTGCGCCTTTTCTGTTGTGAGATTTCACAATATAAACTTTTCACACTTGTGATTTTCCATGTTGTTCTGTTAGCAGGACCCAAGGAGATTACTGTACCTACTATAGACATTTTTTCCTTTACTCTTCAGAAAGCTGAATAACTACTGTTAGGATCCTAGACACTTAGCGTTCTTATAAACATCCATATCATTCCTCATTGTACCAAATTATAAGCTGTAAGATTTTGTCTTAATATATTTATTGAAGTAAATACTTCATAGAATTAACACTATGAGTGTTAAAACATGTTTTGGTATTGACATTTTCAATGTGCAATTTAGCTGTGACAAAAGTTTTAAGTCTCTGAGAATGCAGCAATAGAATCATTTATAAAATAGCGAGACTGTACACAAACTTATGTATAGTAGATTAAAGAAAAGCCTTATTCTAATCAGTGAAGAACAGAAGTACTTTAAACACATAGGTATGTTCTTTTAAAAATTGTATTGAAACTAAATTTAATAAACTATATTTTTCCAGTAATTCATGAGATGGGAAAAATCCCTACTACTAGTATGTAATGAAGCGGGTATTTCCCAGAAAGGACAGCTGGCAATATGTATCTCTCTCTAGTGACCGGCGATTGTTTGGCATCGGTATTGCTCTGAGTGTGGAAGCTAGTGTGTTGGAATCACTAGATGAGTTCTTTTCTGATTCTCTACGTCTTTACAATACTCTGTTAACTTACTTGGGAAGTATTGATGGCCTGGGCCTGAATCCCTGCCTAGATTCTTAATAGTTGCATGAATTTTGGATAAGTTCATTAATTTTCCTGTTTTAGTTTCTTCATTTTAAAATGCAGGTAAAAAGTTTGTCTTTTAAGCCGGGAGTGGTGGCACATGCCTGTAATCCCAGCACTCGGGAGGCTGAGGCAGTAGGATTGCTGTGAGTTTGAGACCAGCCTGGACTACATAGTGAGTTCCAGGTTAGTCTCAACTACATAGTGAGACCCTGTCTCAAAAAACCAAAAAAAAAAAAAAAAAGTTTGTCTTTTATAGGTCTTATGCTGATGAATAAATTAATAACAGGTTTAGGGCTTTGAACTGTGCCTGCTTTAAAGAAACAGATGCTACCTGCTGGTGTGACTTGCAGTCATCCTGTGGTGAAATGATGCAGAGTATGTCAATGTTCTTTCTAGATAACTCAAAATCCCAAGAAGAAATTGTCTGTTTTGAATCACCACTTCATAAGACACCCAGCAAAACATTTTGAGGAAAACCCAGCAATCATTTCTGACCTAACAGGTTGGTGATGATAACATATTTTAAGTAGAACTTTTCAGGGCCGGGGATTTAGCTCAGTGGCACTGTGCCTACCTCACAAACACAAGGTCCTAAGTCCGATCCCCAGTACCACCCCAAAAAAATCAGTAAGTAGAACTTTTCATTTTTATTCTTAAGTAAATTTATTATTTGCAGATAAAAGTCTTTGAAATGGTAATACTGCCAGTACTATAATCCTGACATTTTATTAATTTCCCTTGATGGTGCTAGTGAGGCTCTTGGTTTGCAATAATAAGAGTAGGAAAGCAAGTTATAGGATGCTCTTAAAATTTTTTGTGCTAAAAATAACACAACAAATAGAGAGGGTGCTTCTGTGTGTTCATTTGTTTGCAGTGCTGGGGACTGAACTCAGGGCTTACACATGCTGGGCAAATGCTCTACCGCTAAATTGCATAAATGAGCCCATAAATGTGTGTAGCGTTAAACATTTAGTCTCCTGACAGTCACATAAAATAAGAGCTTTACTCATCTTGATACCTTTCAGTTTCTCAGTTTTGCTTATTCTTGAGTCTTTGCCAGCATATCTTCTGCTGGCAAACTTTGCTGTTAAATATAATAAGAACGGTTCTACTTTACTTAATGAAATGTCCCGTTTGGAAAATGAAATACTTCTACCTGTTGATGATTCCTTAAAGACGTCTGCACATCTGTGGCACTTTCATAAGTGTTGTGAGTGCCACGTGCTGTCAGCAGAGAGAGAACGTGTTCCTGGATTTGTCTCTGAAAGTAGTCAGGATTTAGAAACCACTTAGGGTCAGGAAGTGTTTCACCAGGATTCAAACAAATTATTTAATATTAAAAAGGCGAGTAAATTACTTTCCTTCACTTCAAGGGACATCTTTGTGGGTTCCGGTAAAAGTGTCCAGATGGACCTTTGTGGCTTACAATGTAAGTATCCCTCTGGAGGATTCTCTTTCAAAAATATTTTAATATTTATTTGTAAAATTTAAAGGGTTTTCATAAAGAGATAACAACATGCTATCTCCTCACAATTTAATAATTTCTTAATAATAAATATCTAG